TGTGTCCAATCACACTTGGCCAATAAAAGAATTCTATTCTATTCTATTCTATTCTATTCTATTCTGTTCTATTCAATTTTATTCAGGAGACGGCCCTCTTTGCCTGCTCCGTTTATCACGCTTTGAGCAGAAAGTGGCAGCTCAGGCAAACAGACTCTCCAGCCAGAAAACAAGACTTCGAGCAAGAACGGTCTCAAACAGGGGGAAAGATTATACAAAGCTTTGCCTTCCAAGTGAGCTCAGAGGTCTTGGGGAGAGCCAAAGGCCTACCCCCTGTGACCCCTGCCTGGAACAAAAGCCCCCCTACGTCAACCAAGAAGATTCCTGAGCTCTGCCTGCTCATGCTATTCCAGGTCTATTTTGGCCCGCCAGCAGAACTGGCAGCAGTGTCGAACAGTGAGAAGGTTGGGGAGGAACCTGGGCCAGTCCTGCAGTCTGGGTAAGCCTGTGATGAGGGCTCTGTGTCAGAGGCAGAGAGGGGGCCACAGACGTATGCCAGGCATCAGCTGCCTTCGGAGTCAGACATCAGTGAGGCAGAAGAACAGCTGGAGCCTGTTCCCGTTGTGCGCATGCATAGAGATGCCAGACGAAGGGAACAGCTAAAGAAAAGGTCAACTTGGGAGGAAGGCCACAGGTAGACGCTGACTGGCCCCTCCCACAGGAAACAGAAGAGCAAAAGGGGAGTGGAGTTTGCAGGAGACAATTAGTTCACTTAATTGGTTCCTGACTCTCCGAGGCTCCTTGCCAAGTTTTGCAGATACCAGCCTAGCAGCTCTCCAAACCAGGTAAGGTCTGTGAGTGTAAATCCTCCCTAAAAAGACTTTGCTGGATGTGAATGAGAGGAATTCACAGTAACTTAATAAAAAGGTGTTTTTGTCGGAACAAGGAGTCTGCTTTGTCGCTAGGGGAAGCCTAGGTCAAAACAACATCGACGAAGCCCTGGGGTACGTTACGTACCACTTTACATCAATCCCAATCGAGCCATTATAACGTACTCATTCGAATCACAGACACGTGCTGGATACTTACTAGGAGGTTGGTCAAGTTTTACTATTGATGCCTGCAGTGCATAAAGTGCTTGTAGTTCCTTCTCGGTGTCCGAGTCTAGGTACTTGAGTAAGATGGGCACTCTCCGCTTGATAACGGTAGTATCCACTCGCAAGCTAGAGCTATCCACTGGGTGGGGGGAAAGAAGAAGTCACACACACACATACCCTCCCTTTCCCTCACCACTACAAGAAAGTGTTGGACCTTGCCAATCGGTTTTGAGCTAGAGATATTCTTGGGAAACAGGTGGCTGCGGAGCCATGCCAGTCCTCCCCCCCCCCCCGGTCCCAAAGCTGGCTGGGAATCCAAACTGCCCTGGGTGGCCAAGGAGCCCTGGCCAAGGGAGCGACCGCTTGCTCCGTCCTCTCTCCTTCTCTATAAACGGAAACAGCCACAAGACAGAAAACCCCCAGCTGCGCCTTCTCTCTCTCTGTCACTGGCCAATCTAAGTTCGGTCCCCTCGGTGGACCAGATCCAACGTTAATATATAGAAAGACTCCCTTGGCTATTTTAATGGAACAAGAGAAAACAGTACTAAGGTTAAGGAAGAAAAATTAAAACTAAAAGGACTCTGATCGAGAATCGCAGCCAAGTCTTACCTGGGCCCCAATACTGTCTTTTGAGGGAGCAATTCAAACCCAGGAAACCCATTTGTGCCAACGATTCGAATCCCTTAAAAAAACAGGCATGTGAGTGCCCACCACACACGGCATACCTTCGAATTCTGCTGCGGCCGCTACTCACCTAGAACAGCTGCTTTGCAAACGGCCGTCATTAAAGCTCTAAGGAATGTAGGTGAACTCATCTGGCTTTCGTCTAGATTAGCCTGGAAGCGAGAGCATTTGCCAGGATTAAGAAGCTGGGCTGCTTTGCTTCGGAAATAAAAAAAACCCTCTACTTTTGACCCAATCAGCTCTAGCTGTGGAAGAACCGACATTCCCGGCTGCCTTTCGGTCTCTTTATTTGGCCGGAATTAAGCCTGTCACTGCAACGAATTTAAGAGTGCCTTTTTGGGGGGCTGGGGGGGGGGGAGGAGGACGGGATGACGACAAAGACACACTGCAGTTGGCTAGACTCTTACTTCACAGCCATTTGGATTTCTAGCCCATGGGTTGGTTCTTTCATCCCTCTGCTGCGGCTCCCGGGGGGCGGGGGGAGGGGAAGAAGGGCATGCTAGGGGAAATTCTATGGCAAGGGGCGAGTTTTCCGGTCAGCTCCACAATTGATAGGGCTTTCAGTTAGGACAGGTAGAGGAAAAAGGATGCCATGCTAGGAGGAGACTCTATGGTGGAGGAACCGAACTTCTGGTCAGGAGAGGAAAAAAGGCGGCACACTAGTAGGAGACTCTATGATGGGGGAACCGGACTTCTGGTCGGCTCCAGAATCAAATGGGGGGGTTCCGGTTAGAACTTTTGAGTGTTTAAGGTTGCTGACCCCTGTTCTAGCCTTACAGCTGAGTTTTTTGCTGGGCCACCTATACGATCCCACTAGCCAGATGTTGTGCAGGCAAGTAAAGCCATCCCAGGGAGCAGAGGCAATGGAGGCAGGGCAGATGGGGGCCTTATCCTGCTGTGTTCCCGCTGGGTGTGGAGGGCAAGTCTTATACCTCTACCCAGTCAAAGATCTGCTCGTCACCGGCTTCTTCCTCAACAATGAGTTTCTCCAGCTGCCTGTTCAGCTCTTCGGCAGAGAGTTCTCTCGGGGAAAGTGCTTCTGAGGAACTGGGACTGTCAGTTTCTGTGAAGTCCAACTTCTGCAACGTTAGAAAAGCGAAGGCGAGACGTTCAGGCCCAGACCGAAAGGTGGGGCCGACCCAGCCTTAACTCCCCCCCCCAACTTTCCCCCTTAGCAGGAGACCCAACGAGCCCCTCACCTGCTCCAGGAGAAAGGCGTGGACGTCGTCCTCTTCAGGTAGGAAGTCCTTCCAGCTGAGGCCAGCCTCCCTCCATAAGGCTGCCACTTTCTTATGGCTCTGCAAATACAAGGCCATGGATTGGGCCAGGACTGCTGCTCATCCAGCATCGCCAGCGGCTACTTCGGGAGGTGTGCTCCAGCCAGCACCAACCTCCTGGGAGCCGCACGGCGCCCCCTCAAGCCTCCCCTGCTTCTGGAACGCCTGCGAGGAGGAGCAGCCGAAGCTCCATCCTGCCCCAGGCGTGGATGGATTCCTCCCCTCCTTTAGCCAAATAGACTTCGGACTTGGGGGGGGGGGGGGGGGGGGAGAATGTGTACAGAGACCCATTAACGTCCTCCTCCTTACCATTTGTTTGCATAGAAGGTGCAATATTTTGGAAAGCAGAACACCAGCTCTTCTCACAGGAAGTAAAGGTTTACTAAATTCTCTGAAACGGAAAAGAACGCAGAGCGTCGGTTTTATCCTCTTGGGAAGAGCTGTCCCGAGACTAAGCCCTAGTGTAGCAGGAAGGCAGCCTCGCCGATGAACTCTTCTATATCCCGCCTTTTAGCAGGCTTGGCATGCAGGAAAAGCCAGCTGGCAAGCCAAAGTCAGCCTGGCAGAAATACACCTCCCCCTGGGCCACAGCTCTGCTGCCCATCTCGTCGAGTTCCTGCTTCGGGGATGGGGGAAAGAGACGCAGCCGGGCTTACATCACAAGTTCTCTCATAGAGATGCCTCCTTCTTTTAACATTGGCGTCACCAATTCAGCCAGGTATAACCAGATGTGGGGGATATCGATAGCCATGTCGTCGGCGGTCTCCAAGGTGTCCGAAAACCTGACCCACAAATGCAAAGCCCCTTAAAACGCCTGTTGGCAGGAGGTGGGATGGGTGGCTTCAGCCTGAGCCAAGACCACCTCCAGCTGGTAACCCACAAACAAGCACAAGCACAACAAAGAATGTTTTTTCTGCGCCAACTCAGAAAGCTCAGACTGCCCAAGGAGCTGCTGATTCTGTTCTACAGAGGAATTATTGAGTCTGTCAATTGAACCTCTACAATTGTCTGGTTTGGCTCTGCAACCCAACAAGACAGACACAGACTTCAGAG